TTGAATCAGGATACAGGGATCCTGATGAGGTGTGTGACTTCAGGGATACAGGAATCCTGATGAGGTGTGACTTCAGGGATACAGGGGATCCTGATGGGGGTGTGACTTGAGGGATACAGGGATCCTGATGGGGTGTGACTTCGGAGGGGATACAGGGATCCCTGGGGGTGTGACTTGAGGGATACAGGGATCCCGGATGGGTGTGACTTGAGGGATACAGGGATCGCTGATGGGGTGTGACTTTAGGATACAGGGATCCTGATGGGGGGTGTGACTTTACAGGGATCCTGACAGGATGTGACTGGAGGGATACAGGATCCTGATGGGGTGTGGACTTCAGGGATACAGGATCCTGATGGTGTGACTTGAGGGATACAGGATCCTGATGGGGTGTGACTTTTAGGGATACAGGGATCCTGATGGGTGTGACTTTAGGATACAGGGATCCTGATGGGGTGTGACTTCAGGATACAGGGATCCTGATGGGGTGTGATTGAGGGATACAGGGATCCTGATGGGGTGTGACTTGGGAGGGATACAGGGATACCTGATGGGGTGTGACTTTAGGGATACAGGGATCCTGATGGGGTGTGACTTGAGGATACAGGATCCTGATGATGGGTGTGACTTGAGGGATACAGGGATCTGATGGGGTGTGACTTGGAGGGATACAGGGATCCTGATGGGGTGACTTGAGGGATACAGGGATCCTGATGGGTGTGACTTGAGGGATACAGGGATCCTGATGGGGTGTGACTTGAGGGATACAGGGATCCTGATGGGGTGTGACTTGAGGGATACAGGGATCCTGATGGGGTGTGACTTGAGAGGGATACAGGGATCCTGATGGGGTGTGACTTGGAGGGATACAGGGATCCTGGGATGGGGTGTGACTTAGGGGATACAGGGATCCTGATGGGGTGTGACTTTGAGGGATACAGGGATCCTGATGGGGTGTGACTTGAGGGATACAGGGATCCTGATGGGGTGTGACTTGAGGGATACAGGGATCCTGATGGGGTGTGACTTGAGGGATACAGGGATCCTGATGGGGTGTGACTTGAGGGATACAGGGATCCCTGGATGGGGTGTGACTTGAGGGATACAGGGATCCTGATGGGGTGTGACTTTAGGGATACAGGGATCCTGATGGGGTGTGACTTGAGGGATACAGGATCCTGATGGGGTGTGACTTTAGGGATACAGCAGGGATCCTGATGGGGTGTGACTTGGAGGATACAGGGATCCTGATGGGGTGTGACTTGAGGGATACAGGGATCCTGATGGGGTGTGACTTGAGGGATACAGGGATCCTGATGGGGTGTGACTTGAGGGATGGGGGATGCTGATGGGGTGTGACTTGAGGGATCAGGGGATCCCATGGGGTGTGACTTGAGGGATGGGATCCTGATGGGGTGTGACTGGATACATACAGGGATCCTGATGGGTGTGACTGAGAGGGATACAGGGATCCTGATGGGGTGTGACTTGAGGGATACAGGGATCCTGATGGGGTGGACTTGAGGGATACAGGGATCCTGGATGGGGTGTGACTTCAGGGATCAGGGGATCCTGATGGGGTGTGACTTCAGGGATACAGGGATCCTGATGGGGTGTGACTTGAGGGATACAGGGATCCCGGATGGGGTGTGACTTTAGGGATACAGGGATCCTGATGGGGTGTGACTTTAGGGATACAGGGATCCTGATGGGGTGATGGGGTGTGACTTGAGGGATACAGGGATCCTGATGGGGTGTGACTTGAGGGATACAGGGATCGTGATGGGGTGTGACTTGGAGGGATACAGGGATCGTGATGGGGTGTGACTTGAGGGATACAGGGATCCTGGATGGGGTGTGGACTTGGATGGGATACAGGGATACAGGGATCTGATGGGGTGTGACTTCAGGGATACTTCTGATGTATACAGGGATCCTGATGGGGTGTGACCCCAACAGGGATTCCTGTATCCCTGAAGTCACACCCCATCAGGATCCTGACTGTATAAGGATAACCAAATTCCTCTGAACCTGATGACATGGGGGTTGGGGGGAGAGAGAGAAAGAGAGGAATGAGATTATATATTTAAACAGCTGTGGCATGTCTTTCTGAAATTATCTTTGACATACTGTTATTTTCTCTGTACCTTCAGTCCTGTATGTAGTCAGTATGTTTAATCATTAAATAAACAGGAAATTGCTACAGGAACAATCTGGGGAAGGATTGCTGTTTACTGCCTGTTATCACAGGAACAATCTGGGGAAGGATTGCTGTTTACTGCCTGTTATCACAGGAACAATCTGGGGAAGGATTGCTGTTTACTGCCTGTTATCATAGTTTATCAACAAACTGATGTCACTAGTTGCTAGATCAGGGATTTATCTAGGATTCCGAATTTATCTAGAATTTCGAATTGTTCCTGGCAAGCAAAATAGAAACCACGTGATTGTTTCGTTCAAAATTGGAATTGAATTTAAGTTATTATTTTCTACTACACAGATTGTCAGAAGTTTTTTAACATTGCATGCAATTTGATAATGTAAAACTATGCATTAAGGTCTCTTTCTCATTAGGCCCTGTTATCAGAGAAGCATAAAACATACGTTATAGATGTATTAAAAACTTCATGATGGAAGGGATCATTATATATTTTAATTTTGGATTATTTACTGTCATTTGCTGCAGGTTTATGGTTTAGTATTGACATCTGAGGAGGTCTACATTAATAATTGCTGATGCCAAGTCCAGTTTCTCTATAAAAGCAATGATATGATCCTTCATTGCTTGTAGCACATACCGTTTGTATAGGACACCCATCCCACATGTGGTGCAAGGGAGATAACTCCACAGCATGAACCACATGCACAAAAGTAGGTCACCATACTTCAGATGTGTATAACTCTAATTGTATTTTTTGAAAATAAATGGTGGATTAAAGGATTTCAGAGAGAAATGTTTGATAGCTAGTGATTAGATGAATTAGATGTGAGCTGTTTAATGTTTATTTGCAGGTGAGATATTATTCATATGTGGCACCTTCCCTCATGTTGTGGTGAAATCGGCTTGTTCCCCCTTTATAACGTGCTGAAGGGGAAATGTTGAATAAGTCCTTTTTATACATTTTGTGTTAGTTAACTAAGACTGTATTACTCTAGTAATAATATGGTATTATTTCAGAGTCCTTCGCAATGAAATTATGGAAAATATTTATCGTTTGCCTTATATTGAAGTTGGATTGTAGAAAAATAATTGTTAGCTCCACCCTAACACAATAATTCAGAAGTTTTTTAAAGCTTTCTTGTTCGCCTACCTTCAAAATATTTGGTAAATAAAACCACAATAAAGTCATGATATATCTTGTTAAGTCTGTGACTGTGAAATCAATGTTGTAATTGTAGTTAAATAATATTTTTGTAAAAAGTAATCAACATGCTAAAATAGAAGCAATGGCTGACATTTGGGTCAGTCCGCTACAGTCTCAATGGATGACATTCAACACATTGTCATCAGGTATTGTAACTTCTTACCTGTGGGCCTTCGGGCCACAGAACATGATGAATGTTGGAGAATGATTCTTATGAGTTACACTCCATGGGACTGAGGGGACCGCAACGCTTCTCAGATCCCACCTTTCTGACTGATACCTGATGACCACTTTAATAACTGATAAAACAAATATTTAGTAATTTCGCTCTTTATGCAGACCAGCCAAATATTTCTACTTCTACTTGCAAAGTCAATGTACAGTATAAAGTGAGCCCTTCACAGCCAAATACCAGTACTAGTGTTGAACAATTAGCTAAGTCCATATACAGTATAAAGTGAGCCCTTCACAGCCAAATACCAGTACTAGTGTTGAACAATTAGCAAAGTCCATATACAGTATAAAGTGAGCCCTTCACAGCCAAATACCAGTACTAGTGTTGAACAATTAGCAAAGTCCATATACAGTATAAAGTGAGCCCTTCACAGCCAAATACCAGTACTAGTGTTGAACAATTAGCTAAGTCCATATACAGTATATAGTGAGCCCTTCACAGCCAAATACTAGTACTAGTGTTGAACAATTAGCTAAGTCCATATATACCAGTATATAGTGAGCCCTTCACAGCCAAATTCACAGCCAGTACTAGTGTTGAACAATTAGCTAAGTCCATATACAGTATATAGTGAGCCCTTCACAGCCAAATACCAGTACTAGTGTTGAACAATTAGCTAAGTCCATATACAGTATATAGTGAGCCCTTCACAGCCAAATACTAGTACTAGTGTTGAACAATTAGCTTAGTCCATATACAGTATATAGTGAGCCCTTTACAGACAAATACCAGTACTAGTGTTGAACAATTAGCTAAGTCCATATACAGTATATAGTGAGCCCTTCACAGCCAAATACTAGTACTAGTGTTGAACAATTAGCTAAGTCCATATACAGTATATAGTGAGCCCTTCACAGCCAAATACCAGTACTAGTGTTGAACAATTAGCAAAGTCCATATACAGTATAAAGTGAACACTTCACAGCCAAATACCAGTACTAGTGTTGAACAATTAGCTAAGTCCATATACAGTATATAGTGAGCCCTTCACAGCCAAATACCAGTACTAGTGTTGAACAATTAGCCAAGTCCATATACAGTATAAAGTGAACACTTCACAGCCAAATACCAGTACTAGTGTTGAACAAATAGCTAAGTCCATATACAGTATATAGTGAGCCCTTCACAGCCAAATACCAGTACTAGTGTTGAACAATTAGCAAAGTCCATATACAGTATAAAGTGAACACTTCACAGCCAAATACCAGTACTAGTGTTGAACAATTAGCAAAGTCCATATACAGTATAAAGTGAACACTTCATGCAGAGTTTCTCGTGACCAAGGCATATTAACAAGCCTCTAGGTACATGCAGTTTGTCATTGTTTCCTCATCGCCTCTTTATTAATATCATATTCATGTTGTAGTGTGTTATTTTCATTTAAATTGTGTTCATTTCAGATGTTTTTGTACAATGATTTGTATTTCTACAACATCAGAAAGAATGAGTGGCACAAAGTTACGTCCCCCAAGCAGCCCCCACCTCGCAGTGCCCACCAGGTGAGTCTCCTGTTGTAGAAAATCAAACATGGACTTGGGGTCTATCCTCTAACGTTTGTGTGTAAGTAAAGGTTAGTATAGCACCTGTCCAGCCGCCGCCCAGAAACTGTATGCGGTGATCTTCTGCCAGTTTCCAGTTGCTGCTGCAGTCTGTGCAGGCGGCTGTCCAGGTTCTTGTAGAGTCTGGATCTTGGAAGGCTGACAGCTGCTCCATGCCTCAATCTGTCTTCTGGCCACTCTGTTTGTTGTCTCGAGCTTCTTCATTGTGATCACAAACTCGTAAATGTTGGGTGGTGCTTCTGAACCAGCTTCTTAAATCCAAAGGTGGAATCCTCCAAGTGATTGTTTGTTCTTGGCAGTGTTTCCATGTTGATTCCAAATGCTAGGTGGGAATCTTAAGGCCGTGTGTAGTCAACCCATGTAGATGTGATGTAGTCGCTTGAACTGGCCGATTCGTCCAACGCCGGAGACTGGTTCAATACTTCCATCCAGGCATCTTGGATCTGATCCACTGGGAGGAGGGGGAGTGCTGCAGCACGTCGCCGCATGGAGTGTTGAAGACTAACGATTGTCCTTGTAGGTTTTCACAAGGCCTTTCTCTGAAACCCGCCGCCAAACCCGCCTGGGTGAAGTGGAAGTAGCATCCACGGACTTCTGCATCGGGGAAGACTCTCTCAGTGGCTCCAATAGCAGCAGCTTCTGAGAGTCAGTCTGTACAAGCGGAGGGAGAAAGTTCAACGCGGACAATAGCAAGCACAGAGTCCTTCAAGTAGTTAAACAATCTAATGTATGTATCAATGAGACTTGCTTGGCAGCAGGGGAGAAGGCTGACTGGAACATCTGTCCATCCACAAGGCAGTGCACAATGTAGACTTGTTGCCACAGGCTGGGACACACAAAAAATGTTCCCGTCCATGTAGATGGTTTCTGCATTGGCGAGGATGTCCAGCATCTCAAGCGGTACTGAAGATCAGGATCCTGTCTTCATCTTCGCTGTCTACAACCAGGAACTGTTGTCCGTCTGTTGTCTCAGTCCAGGAACCTTAAAACAAGCAAGTGTGTTAGACGTTGTTTTTGATGAATGAATGAATGATCCCCAATGGTGCTGCATCTACCCTTGCACTTGTCGATGATACACTTCCAGTGAGTGGCTACCTGTCTGTCAACGTGCAGTCGATACTTGTGACCTCCGTAATAGAACCTGTTTTCCTCCTCTCTGCATAACGTGAACTCTGCTTTCTGTAGGTTAGCCATTCGCGACTGCCCATACTTTGCAAACTACCATACTTATAGGGTTGCAGTGAGTTACTAAATTGAAAGGAGAGAGAAGTTATTTCCGATTAGTAGATACATTAATTAATAATACTCTCTACTTTATTTAGACAAAATTGAAATATACCTTTAAATCTTCTCTAAGTTTCCTTCTCCATCCTGTATATAACTACCACAACACTGAAACAAGAGCACTTTGTCAAGTAACTCAGAGATGTATGTGATTTTAGACTAATCCCCCATTGTCAGGACACCCCATTATGAGTAGGGTGCATTGTCTGACCCTAATTAACCTCTGATGTTTTTGTGGGCCAATTGGGATGTGGGCAATTAGGGATGTGGGCTTGAATAGAGTGTAAGCAAAGGTTAGTATAGCACCTATACACACAGACATGTAACACCTTTCCATGGTGCTTCAACACTGCCTCATTACCAGTAGAGGACGTAACGTGTAAGTATGGTGGTCCCCAGTTACGTGTAAAAGTGACTACCACTCATGGGGTCACTCATTCGTGTGACTGCCTGATCACAGACAGGTAATTTCTGCATGTCACACAAAAACATGTCTAAAAGTGTTATTTATGAAAGTAATTAAACAAAATTTGGTAAAATCATTGATAGTTGTTCAAGTTATTGAATATAAATGAAAACATAACATGAAAAATCATATAGTCAAATTCTGACAAAAATGTGCAAATATTTAGCAAAATTTGATGATTTTTAACAACGAATTTCACCAATGTACATATTTTTCAGAAGCTTAGATTTAGTATTTTCCGAAAGCTCATTCATTGTAGATTCAAAATATATACATAGCTGTTGAGGCACACTAGTGCACACCTGTTTGTTATTGTGCTGAAACGTTGAAACATATTTACTTCCTTCTAAACTGTACGAAGCCATCTCACACAGTAGTGATGGTAATTGGGAGGTAACCGATGCCTGACTAAATTGTTCAGTCAAAACATGTCTGGTTACCTGGACTGTCTGAAGCGTGTGTAATATATATGATATTTATCTCATTTTTCTAAAAACATTTCTCCTTTGCAAGAAAGAGGACATTGTATATTAATATCACATTATGAATAACAATTTCTTATAGGGACTTTGTTATGATTACATTAAGCTTGCTTGTCATGATATAACTGGATTGCAATAAAAAATGGTGTTAGACCCAACTCACTCTCTCACTCTAGCTACCACATGAGGAATTCAGATGTTTTTCAAAGTCTCTTTGTTCACCTACCATCAAAATATTTGGTAAATAAAACCACAATAAAGTCATGATATATATTGTTAAGTCTGTGACTGTGAAATAAATGTTGTAATTGTAGTTAAATAATATTTTTGTAAAAAGTAATCCACATGCTAAAATGGAAGCAATGGCTGACATTTGGGTCAGTCCGCTACAGTCTCAATGGATGACATTCAACACATTGTCATCAGGTATTGTAACTTCTTACCTGTGGGCCTTCGGGCCACAGAACATGATGAATGTTGGAGAATGATTCTTATGAGTTACACTCCATGGGACTGAGGGGACCGCAACGCTTCTCAGATCCCACCTTTCTGACTGATACCTGATGACCACTCTAATAACTGATAAAACAAATATTCAGCAAAGGTAAATTATTGTATTTGTCATAATGCAACACAACCAAATTTTTCTACTTGTGTTGAACAAATGGCAAAGTCAATGTACAGTATAAATGAGCCCTTCACAGCCAAATCCATGTACCAGGTAAACTATCAATATATATATATATATATGTAAAGGTTGATTGCTTGGTCTGTTGTTTAATGCCACATTCAGCAATATTCCAGCTAAATGGCAGCGGCCTGTAAATAATCAAGTCTGTACCAGACAATACAGTGATCAACAGCATGAGCATCGATCTACGCAGTTGCAATACATTGACACGTGTCAACCAAGTCAGCGAGCCCAACCACCCGATCCTGTTAGTCACCCCTCTCTTACGACAAGCATGGGTTACTGAAGATCAGTTCTAACCCGGATGTTCACGGGTTGATTTAGGAATGTACATGTGTACACACCTGTGAAGTATTGATGATGCAGACATGAACTGTGCTAACTCATGTAGTTGTGTATACTACGTCCTGCTGCTCTCTGTTCCAGGCTGTGAGTCTCCACCAGGGTGGGGGGCAGCTGTGGGTGTTTGGCGGGGAGTTCTCCAGCCACACCCAGTCCCAGTTCTACCACTACAAGGACCTGTGGGTGCTGCATCTCAAGAACAAGCACTGGGAAATGATCAAGTGAGAGCTTCTCATAGCACCCAAAAGTTATACCACGTATCACAGATGGTTCCTCGTTCATAAAAAAAAAGATTTTTTTAAATAAGAAACCCTGCATGTTCAAAAGTTTAAAACTGTGTTTTCAATTGTGTGATGTCATACAAAGGTCAAATTTCTTTGAATGTGTTCATATGTACATGATGAATAAACACAGAAGATTAAATCAGGGATGGAAATATTCTGCTGATCCGCGGATTTCCGCCGATTTTATGTCAAATTGATCTTTCGGAACTCCCTATTCGATGACACAATATTAAGTTTTCAGCTAAAAATAGACTTTCCTGTAGCTATCCCTGTTAAATTGTTCATGTTCTTGATGATACTGTTTTGATCGTAACAACTGATGACAGATATTAGTGACTTCATACATGACATATTTAAGTATATGTATAAATGTGCCAGTATATAGTGCTGATGTCCAGATTGGATCTGCTCAAAGGCACATTCCTGTGATAAAGCGGGAGTCAGTGAGTTGTAGGCAGATTTGAACAAATAGGTTTTTAACAGACACTATAATTCATTGATGTCTTTGCTGCTTTTGAGTTGATGTATGGTCTATGTAACTCTTGGGAAATCTTCTGGCTTATGGCTGGAGGGCAATGAAGTTCAAGGTCACTCATTGTGAACTAGATGTGTACAAGATAATCTGAGTCATGATGATTAAAATGCACCAATTTTTAGGTGATCTCCAAATAAGGTAAAGGTGCCTAGAGTTCAATTTAAGAAACTTTGTTCCATTATCAGGAATTTCAGATTTATTTAAGAATAAGAAGGCTTTTGCTATCAGTTGAGATAAACTCAAAATGAGCACTCCACACTTATCATATGTAATGACTTCAAGTCAGAATTTGTAACCAAACCAACTAACAAGCAAGAAATAAAAGAAATGTGGCAATATTTGTGTCACGCTAATAAAGTAAACAAGTGTGACCCGTGTTTTTCATGAAAAACAGCATGAAGTTAGATCCCTTGTTTACAACTCAAGGGGTGAGGTTAGCCTACCAGTTTTGTGTTACTTATAATTTACAAAATCCAAGAAATCATTTACTATGAAGATTAATCCAAGGACAGTCAGTATCTGCAGCTGAAACTTGGTGACAGGGGAAGATAACATGTGGTTTGTTATCATGCAGCTCCCCAGGGGGGCCAACATCTCGAAGCGGTCACAGAATGGTTGCAGTCAAGAGGCAGCTGATAGTGTTTGGTGGTTTCCATGACAACACCAGGTGAGACCAATATGCATTATGGTAATATGTGGAAATAAGCAGCTTTTTGAATTAACATTATGAAGAGATTAAGATCCTGCTATGTGTCACGAGTTGGCTCCAGGCTCTGTACAGCACTCTTCTGCATGTGTCGTAGTCTGTCTCACAGTCCCTCAACCACATTATCTTCCCTTCTGCCTAGCCTTCCCTGCACAACCCTAAATGAAGCACGTCTTGATTCCCTCAGGTTCTGAATTTCCCATTTGACTGGGGCTCCTTTTCAATATAAATGGGATTATTCGTTACTATCAAAATTATGTATATTCAGAGACTAAGCATTGATCTACATGTGTCGTAGAAGGTTGGAAAACATTCTGTGATCACTCATAGAATCCAGCTATCTGATTGGACGGTTACCATCTTCTGCCGGTAACATGCAGACTGGCCAGCCTCTATTGATATCATGATGTCTCATGTTTGGGTTCTTGCTGGTAGTTTCTCAATTGGCATAATTTGCGCTTCAGATTACCATATTGAGTTCAAATGGTGATCTTTGGATGGCTACACGTAACTATTTCTCCTTCAGTCATCTTGTATACAAGTAAAATTTTGTACATCTCACTATCAGCACTTGTAAATCATTATCTTTACCCTGACAACATGTTCATTAAAATTGCAGTGATCACTTAATTGATTTAAACATATTTTATTCATTGAGGAAAAGGATTGGGCACAAGTTATCCAACTTAATGACGCCCTCACCCAGTATTTACAACAATTATACAGAGAACATATACATGAGAGATCTTGAGTTTGAGAATATAACAGATTAGGAAGAACAGAGGAATCGTTTAGTTTGATTGATGTAGTGATGGACATGTTTGAAGATATTCAGATTTTCTTCAGTTGAGAGGTCTGCATTGCCATATAAAATAAGACATATATCTGGTAAATATCTGTTTTGTAAAATATCACCTATGTTAGCTAACAAAGTTTCTCTATATGTTTTATAACGGGGACAATCCAAGAAATAATGATATACATTTTCACAGAGACATCCACAAGAACAGGATGGATCGGTTATAATCATTGATTCTATACAGGAGTTGGATCGGTTGTATCTTAACTTTGTGTGCATTATACCAGATGAAAGGTACATGATGGGGCACTATTACAGCATTGTTGTATTGTTTCTTTTAAATGACGAAATGGAGTCACAGTTTCTTGCAGTTGACGGGAGATTGTTCCAGGCTTTTATGGTTGACAGAATAAATGAAGATGTTGAATATTTTAGTCTTGTATTGGGCACAGTATAATTTTCAGCATTAACGTAGTTATAATGGGTTTGTTTTAAATGCGACAGGTGGTAACAATTCGCTTAAAAAGACGGGCGATGTCATGTTTAATCTTATAAAACAAGTTTCATTTACGCTTTTTCTTCTCTCTGATAGCAATTCCCATCCAGTCTCATAATAAGAACTCTACTATGTATTTGGGTAGGCCAGTTACTATACGATGAGCTGCCTCAAGCTGTAGTCTTTCTAACTTGTTTGAATTTTCAATCAGACACCCATCCCATACCTCACTTTCGCATATTCAAAATGTGGCCTTATAAACACTGTATAAATTCTTGATAACATTTTCCTGTTCAATATATATTTAAATTTTCTTAAGGCACCGATCATTTTAGAGTTTTTTTCCACAATATTTTCGATGTGACATGACCAGGGGCGGATACAGGATTTTCGCTTTGGGGTGCACCCCAATCCTCGGAACCCTGGGCATAAAACCATGTAGTACATTTGGAACACTCTTGAATCCGCATGCATGACCAACTACCATTTGAAGAAAAAAGTTAACCCCAGGTGTTTGTGAAAATCAACAATAGCTATACTAACTCCATCAAAGTATAGTTTAATAGGTTGGTCACTATCTTGTAAAGAAAATATCATAGCTTCAGTTTTGTCATGATTATATTTAATCAGCCATTCCTTCGCCCATCTACTCAATAAGGTCAGATTATCATTCATGTTTTTATGACCCTGCCATATATGGCTGGGGGCATATAGTATAGGGTTACCCTCCGTGTCCTTCCGTCCGTCCGAAACAGGGAATGTACTCTATCCACTTCTCCACAAAAAACGCTCTGTGAAATTCAATAAACTTATACATGGGCTTTCTTGGGACTCTAATGGTGTGCATCTCATATTTTTTTTTGTATTTTATTGTTTTTTTTGTAAGTTTAGAGACATTTGAACTTAGGTACATTTTGCTGAATTTCTCTATGATGATAGTGTAATAGGGGATGAAGTCTATCCACTTCTCCACAAAAACTGCTCAACAGAATTGAATGAACTTCTACATGTCTTTCGTAGGGACTCTAAAGGCGTCACTGCATCTTATATTTTGATTTTGTATTTTATCTATTTTTTACAATTTTAATGCCAAGTGCTTTAAAGGGACTACATAAATTTTGTTGAATTTCTCTCTGAATATAGTGTTATAGGGGATGAAGTCTATCCACTTCTCCACAAAAGCTGCTCAACAGAATTGATTGAGCTTCTACGTGTGTTTCATTGGGACTCTAAAGGTGTGCATCTCATACCTTGTTCATCCAATTTCTTGATTTTGTCACTTCTACAGATGTTTGAACTTAGTTGAATTTTGTTCTATTCATCCTGTTCGTCCCATACAACAGGGGGTGTACTTTATCCACTTCTCCTCAAAAACCACTGCACAAAACTCATTAAGCTTACATATGTCTTTTATAGAGACTCTAAAGGTGTGCATCTCATATTTTGTTTTTGTATTTTATAGTTTTTTGTATGTTTAGAGACATTTGAACTTAGATAAATTTTGTTGAATTTCTCTCTGATGATAGTGAAATAGGGGATTAAGTCTATCCACTTCTCCACAAAAACTGCTCAACAGAATTGATTAAGCTTATACATGTGTTTCATTGGGACTCGAAAGGTGTGCATCTCATAGTTGCATAGATGTTTATTGAACTTGTTCGTGAATTTTGTTCAATTATTGATCTTTATATGATAATAGGTTGTGTTATCTTAACCTGCCATATTGAATATGTTCCAGAATATGCCCAAACTTACCCACTTAGCTTCTACAGCAATCTATTGCTTTCACTTGCCTCCACAGTGATATTGCTATTGCTAGTTTATTTACCCTTGTACCGTGAACCTTCATGATATAGGTTTAATTGTACTGTGGTAAGTTCATTGTGACATACATTTACAAATAAGTATTTACCTTGGACACTTTGGATATATTTATTTTATAATCAACCATGATATTTATTTAGTAGAAATTAATCACCAGAGCACACTCAGTGTAGGGAACTCTTCCTACAGCAGCGGGGGCATCCGTGTCCCTGGGCACAATTTTTTCTTGTTACATAAACAATGAACAAGAAAGGACCAAGTACTGAACCTTGTGGAACGCCAGCTTTTAACATTCTCACATCACTTAATTTCACACTATTGGTGAGTGAGTATGTTTTATGCTGCTTTTAGCAGTATTCCAGCAATATCACGGCGGGGAACACCAGCAATGGGCTTCATATATTGTACCCATATGGGGAATCGAACCTGGGTCTTCAGCGTGACATGTCAACACTTTAACCTCTAGGCTACCCCACCACTCTCTGCTTTAATGCTGGTACCTAAACAGTTTTCCAGTTCTATCACAGTGTGTCAGCAGAAAAGCCTGTAGTGATGCAGATCTTTATCATTTTCTGATTAGTTCAACCAATGAACACCAGTATTGTACTGACAAACATTGACACGTAATCAGCTGAGCTTCGCTTTAAAATCCACAATCATAGGTTTCTGTCATGTGCAAGGGATGCAACTCTGCACATTGAATTGTAGCACCCTATACGATTAGGCCACCAGTGTCCTGATAACGAAGTTAGGATCATTTGCTATATGGTGATGCTTGGACCTCTGTTGACAGTTGCCTACATTTGTAGTTCACAAGTTGATGCTCCATACCACTAGGTCACCCATTACATGGCTGACATTCCTGGATGTAGTTGTGCCTAGATGCTGGTCATAGTTGTTCATGCCGTCAGCCACTGGTTTGACCATCCTGGCTTGATTATATTCAGTCTGCTGTGATACAGCTGGAATACTGCTGGCAGTACACAACACTCACTGGATGGTGATAATAAATTGTTAGAAAATTGCTTGGGATAAATAAAGGTTCACTGGAAAATTCAAGCGTCCCTATATTATTTTCCCGTTTTCATCACCACAGCCCTATTCAGAGCTGTTGATGAAAACTGGAAAATATTACAGGAACGCTTTATCTTTCCTGTGGTCCTTTATGTGTTTCTCTCAGTATATATTGACTTCTGTGTAATGTTTTACCAGAGACTACAAGTACTACAACGATGCATATGCCTTCAATATGGATACTTACACATGGTCCAAGCTGGAAGTGTCCGGAACTGTTCCTTCCCCTCGATCTGGTCATGTTATCGCTGCCGTCCCTGACCTCTCCAAGGTCATTGTTTATGGAGGATACAGCAAGGAGAAGGTCAAGCGAGATGTGGACAGAGGTGTAACTCATGTGGACATGTTTGCTCTGATGCCGGAAGGTAGGCATGTCATCTGTCAAAGACTGCATTGACAAGACAGTGGGATTAGTTCAAGAGTCCCCGATCAAGTGTCTGTAATCTGTATGTTGTTGGGCATATCAAGAATGACTCTGTGCTGATCAAGTGTCTGACATCTGAATGTTGTACAGTGACTCTGTGCTGATCAAGTGTCTGTAATCTGTATGTTGTTGGGCATATCAAGAATGACTCTGTGCTGATCAAGTGTCTGTAATCTGTATGTTGTAGGGCGTATCAAGAATGACTCTGTGCTGATGAAGTGTCTGACATCTGAATGTTGTAGGGCGTATCAAGGATGACACAGTGTCGATCAAGTGTCTGTAATCTGTATGTTGTAGGGCGTATCATCAAGAATGACTCTGTGCTGATGAAGTGTCTGACATCTGAATGTTGTAGGATGATCAAGGATGACACTGTGTTGTAGGGTATTATCAAGTGTCTGTAATCTGTATGTTGTAGGGCTGTATCAAGGATGACACTGTGTCGATCAAGTGTCTGTAATCTGTATGTTGTAGGGCATATCAAGAATCACACAGTGCTGATCAAGTGTCTGTAATCTGTATGTTATAGGGCGTAATCTGTATGTTGTATCATCAAGAATGACTCTGTGCTGATGAATCAAGTGTCTGACATCTGAATGTTGTAGGGCGGACATCAAGGATGACACTCAGGATGACACTGTAGTGTCGATCAAGTGTCTGTAATCTGTATGTTGTAGGGCGATCAAGAATGACTCTGTGCTGATCAAGTGTCTGACATCTGTAATGTGTAATCTGTATGTAGGGTGTATCAAGGATGACACAGTGCCGATCAAGTGTCTGTAATCTGTATGTTGTAGGGCGTATCAAGAATGACTCTGTGCTGATGAAGTGTCTGTACATCTGTATGTTGTAGGGCGTATCAAGGATGACACTGTGCCGATCAAGTGTCTGTAATCTGTATGTTGTAGGGCGTATCAAGGATGACACTGTGCCGATCAAGTGTCTGTAATCTGTATGTTGTAGGGCGTATCAAGGATGACACTGTGCCGATCAAGTGTCTGTAATCTGTATGTTGTAGGGCGTATCAAGGATGACACTGTGCCGATCAAGTGGAGGTGGACGACAGTCAAGCAAGGCGGAAAACACCCCAGCACTAGATGTGGCATTTCATTGGCTGTTGCCCCTGGTAACAGGGCTGTCTTGTTTGGAGGTGTTTTTGATGAGGTATATCATTGACTTTACCTATGATAGGAGATGATTTTCAAGTAGGCCAGAAATCACTTTGCACAGAACAAAATTGTGGATCACACATATTCAATTTCTAATTAAAAACCAGTTTAAGGTGAAAAAAGCTAATACAGTGTTTGTATGTACAGTCAGAAGTGTTAAAATATGGTAACTTTTGAATACCATGAAAGACGTTAGGAAAGGCTCTGAATCACCCATTTAGCAGTCAGTCACATGCACACAGTGGTCCTATGGGTGCTGTACAAGTGGTGTCCTATCCAGAAGCTTTAGATCAGTCAGACTTGTTGATGTTCACAACAAGGGCAGATACCTTTAATTATTGTACAGAATCTTTCTGCAAAGTTCGAGTTGCTCCTGTTGGCTGTAGTTCAGATCTAGCCCTAGCAGCTCTTGATATCTTTTCACCAGCAGTTGAGTCGTCTGCAACCACTGACATGTGTTTTACATTCCTGTATAGTAACATTTGTAGCAATATGTATGTTTGCCGGAGAATGGTTATGTCCTCATGAAGTCTGTTTATTCTAAACATGATTGTTACATCTAAGATATTTATCATATTTATTTTTCCAGGATGAAAACGATGAACAAATGAAGAGTGTATTTTACAATGACATGTACCTGCTGGAGTTGGAGAAGGCGTCCATACACTCGGAGAAGGCGAGATGGCACTCCATTACACTCAGGTATGTGTGGGTATCTGGCACACCATTACACTCAGGTATGTGTGGGTATCTGGTACACCATTACACTCAGGTATGTGTGGGTATCTGGCACACCATTACACTCAGGTATGTGTGGGTATCTGGTACACCATTACACTCAGGTATGTGTGGGTATCTGGCACACCATTACACTCAGGTATGTGTGGGTATCTGGCACACCATTACACTCAGGTATGTGTGGGTATCTGGTACTGGCACCATTACACTCAGGTATGTGTGGGTATCTGGTACACCCATTACCATTACACTTACAGGTATGTGTGGGTATCTGGCACACCATTACACTCAGGTATGTGTGGGTATCTGGCACACCATTACACTCAGGTATGTGTGGGTATCTGGCACACCATTACACTCAGGTATGTGTGGGTATCTGGCACTGGCGCACCATTACACTCAGGTATGTGTGGGTATCTGCACACCATTACACCATTACACACTCAGGTATGTGTGTGGGTATCTGGCACACCAGGTATGTGTGGGTATCTGGCACACACCATTACACTCAGGTATGTGTGGGTATCTGGCACACCATTACACCTCACTCAGGTATGTGCGGGGTATCTGGCACACCATTACACTCAGGTATGTGTGGGTATCTGGCACACCATTACACTCAGGTATGTGTGGGTATCTGGCACACCATTACACTCAGGTATGTGTGGGTATCTGGCACACCATTACACTCAGGTATGTGTGGGTATCTGGCACACCATTACACTCAGGTATGTGTGGGTATCTGGCACACCATTACACTCAGGTATGTGTGGGTATCTGGCACACCATTACACTCAGGTATGTGTGGGTATCTGGCTACACCATTACACTCAGGTATGTGTGGGTATCTGGCACACCATTACACTCTGTGGGTATCTGTATGTGTGGGTATCTGGCACACCATTACACTCCAGGTATGTGTGGGTATCTGGTACACCATTACACTCAGGTATGTGTGGGTATCTGGCACACCATTACACTCAGGTATGTGTGGGTATCTGGCACACCATTACACTCAGGTATGTGTGGGTATCTGGCACACCATTACACTCAGGTATGTGTGGGTATCTGGCACACCATTACACTCAGGTATGTGTGGGTATCTGGCACACCATTACACTCAGGTATGTGTGGGTATCTGGCACACCATTACACTCAGGTATGTGTGGGTATCTGGCACACCATTACACTCAGGTATGTGTGGGTATCTGGCACACCATTACACTCAGGTATGTGTGGGTATCTGGCACATTACATTACACTACAGGTATGTGTGGGTATCTGGCACACCATTACACTCAGGTATGTGTGGGTATCTGGCACACCATTACACTCAGGTATGTGTGGGTATCTGGCACACCATTACACTCCAGGGTATGTGTGGGTATCTGGCACACCATTACACTCAGGTATGTGTGGGTATCTGGCACACCATTACACTCAGGTATGTGTGGGTATCTGGCACACCATTACACTGGCACACCAGGTATGGTGTGGGGCACATCTGGCACACCATTACACTCAGGTATGTGTGGGTATCTGGCACACCATTACACTCAGGTATGTGTGGGTATCTGGTACACCATTACACTCAGGTATGTGTGGGTATCTGGCACACCATTACACTCAGGTATGTGTGGGTATCTGGCACACCATTACACTGAGGTATGTGTGGGTATCTGGCACACCATTACACTCAGGTATGTGTGGGTATCTGGCACACCATTACACTCAGGTATGTGTGGGTATCTGGCACACCATTACACTCAGGTATGTGTGGGTATCTGGCACACCATTACACTCAGGTATGTGTGGGTATCTGGCACACCATTACACTCCAGGTATGTGTGGGTACCTGGCTACACCATTACACTGAGGTATGTGGTACCTGGCACACCATGGGTATCTGGCACACCATTACACTCCAGGTATGTGTGGGTATCTGGTACACCATTACACTCAGGTATGTGTGGGTATCTGGCACACCATTACACTCAGGTATGTGTGGGTATCTGGCTCACCATTACACTCAGGTATGTGTGGGTATCTGGCACACCATTACACTGAGGTATGTGTGGTATCTGGCACACCATTACACTCAGGTATGTGTGTGGGTATCTGGTACACCATTACACTCAGGTATGTGTGGGTATCTGGTACACCATTACACTCAGGTATGTGTGGGTATCTGGCACACCATTACACTCCAGGTATGTGTGGGTATCTGGTACACCATTACACTCAGGTATGTGTGTTGGGTATCTGGCACACCATTACACTGGCGCACCATACTGGCACACCATTACACTCAGGTATGTGTGGTATCTGGCACACCATTACACTCAGGTATGTGTGGCGCATGGGTATATGGCACACCATTACACTCGAGGTATCTGGCACACCATTACACTTACACCGGGTAGGTATGTGTGGGTATCTGGCACACCATTACACTCAGGTATGTGTGGGTATCTGGCACACCATTACACTCAGGCACACCATTATGTGGTATGGGGTATCTGGCACACCATTACACTCAGGTATGTGTGGGTATCTGGCACACCATTACACTCATTACAGGTATGTGTGGGTATCTGGTACACCATTACACTCAGGTATGTGTGGGTATCTGGTACACCATTACACTCAGGGTATGTGTGGGTATCTGGCACACCATTACACTCAGGTATGTGTGTGGGTATCTGGCACACCATTACACTCAGGTATGTGTGGGTATCTGGCACACCATTACACTGAGGTATGTGTGGGTATCTGGCACACCATTACACTCAGGTATGTGTGGGTATCTGGCACACCATTACACTCAGGTATGTGTGGGTATCTGGTACTGGCCATTACACTCAGGTATGTGTGGGTATCTGGCACACCATTACACTCAGGTATGTGTGGGTATCTGGCACACCATTACACTTCAGGTATGTGTGGGTATCTGGCACCATTACACTCAGGTATGTGTGGGTATCTGGCACACCATTACACTCCAGGTATGTGTGGGGTATCTGGCACACCATTACACTCCAGTGTATGGTGGGTATCTGGCACACCATTACATTACACTGGGTATGTGGGTATCACACCATTACACTCAGGTATGTGTGGGTATCTGGCACACCATTACACTGAGGTATGTGTGGGTATCTGGCACACCATTACACTCAGGTATGTGTGGGTATCTGGCACACCATTACACTCAGGTATGTGTGGGTATCTGGCACACCATTACACTCAGGTATGTGTGGGTATCTGGCACACCATTACACTCAGGTATGTGTGGGTATCTGGCACACCATTACACTCAGGTATGTGTGGGTATCTGGCACACCATTACACTCAGGTATGTGTATCACTCACTCGTGCACTTCAAACAGTCATGTGCGAGAGAACCCTGATAAAATATACATGTAATTGGTAACAACATGCTTCACCATCGTAACTTCATTTCTCAAACTTAGCTCATATTTTTTCTCCTCCATAAGACCTAAATCAACAACAAATCTCAATGACTCCTTTGAATGAGATTATGGGATAAATCTAAATTTACAAATTGTGGCCTTGTGTGAGTGAACTCAGAAAAGTTTTTTGAATTAGAAGATATATGAACAGTGTATAAAATAGTTTTGAAATGTGGCCTGTCCAAGGACTGGCTTTCCAAAAAGGGGACCAGTCCTGAACAAACATAGCCAGTCCCGAAGACGAAATTCAAACCAAGATAAGTTTATTTCTTCAAATATTTCCCCCAACCAAAGGACGGTTTTTCTTATTTAATAGACCGTCCTTCACAAAAATAGACCGTCAAGGATGGTGGGGTAGGTTATGTTTTACACACTGTTAATGATCTTATAGCTGAAAGACATGTGTTCCTGAGTGTAATTTCGAGGGAGAAAATCCCAACAAGATGACCCAGGTAAGAACAGGTTGATTTGATGAACGTCATCATGTCTCTAGAACTGGACTCATAGCTACCATGGTGATTAGGTCCATGTGTTTATCAGAATGGAGATACAATACCCTGGGCCTAGATTTTCGAAGCTCTCTTAGCGATAAGATAGTCGTAAGTTAATGTATGGCACTTACGACTCTCTTAGCACTAAGAGAGCTTCGAAAATCTAGGCCCTGGACACTAGGGATATTGTGACTGGAATGTTAACATTTCTCACTCTTGTAACTGTAGGGGAAAGAAGGATGAAGGGGAGAAGAAGAAGCGGCGGAAGGAGAAGGGGGAGGAAGATATGGAGGAAGAGGCAATGGAGGTTGCAGAGGAAAATCTAGAGAATTTGTCACTTAAGAACGAATCCGGGGAAGATGGTGCTGTTTCTTCAGAGACCACATATGATGACGGTATATTCAAAGTGACAATCGGCCCACAAGGGGGCGCTGTTGATGAAGATGGGGAACCTGTAGAGGGTGGAATGGATGTGGATCTGTTCAGGCCCTCACCGCGGATGAATCCCCTCGTGACTGTTAAGAATGGAGTGCTGTACATGTATGGGGGAATATTTGAGGATGGAGACAAACAGCTGACTCTAGCAGACTTCTACTCCTTGGACCTCAACAAGCTGGAGGAATGGAAGGTCATCATTGCTGAGGACAAGAAACTTCAGGTGAGGTTAGAGGAGATGGGAGTTTAAAGGAGGTCTTTGTTTGTTTCTTTATTGTTTAATGCTGCACTCAGCAATATTCCAGCTGTATCTCAGTGGTCTGTAATCGAGTCTGGACCAGACAATCCAGTGATCAACATCTTCAGCATTGATCTATGCAATTGGGATATGGTCATGTGACAACCAAATCAGCTAACATGACTGCTTGATCCCGTTGGTCGCATCTTACCACGAGCATGGGTTGCTGAAGACTAATTCAGTTATCTTCACTGATTTACATGAGGTACAGCTTCTAACTTACTTTTGAAGGAGATCGCCCTGAATACACACTTTCTCAGTACAACAACTGTACATGTACTGGCCAGGGAAGAGATAGTTGAGAATAAGGTACACTCTGCTTTGAGATAATACTTATTTTTCTGGAAAGCCAAGACCTTTCGGGGATTGATGTTTTTTGTGTTGATGTTAGCCTGTGGGCACAGTTTAAGTTGTTCAGTTCTTTTAGAGTTTTAGTTTACCAACAAGACAAATAGCTCAGATTAATCATTGAACTTTGGGGATGTTGTGTGAGCTATTGTAATTAAAAGGCACAATATCACACCACACTTCTCTGAAAAAAATAACGCATTTCTCTCAATAATACGAACTATCAGCCCTCAATGTTGCATGAAATCAACTCTCACGCCCTCTTCCAGCCGAACATTATTTCAAGCGAACCCCATAGTGTTATGTACTTGGAGCGCTCTTTACGAATATCCTACTTACAACTTGTGATTAAAACCAGTTCGGCAAACACCAACAACGCTGCCTGGGACAGTTTTCGATGTACGGAGCAATTAATTACATTCCATTTATGGCAAGTATTCTCTGTTTGGAAGCTGTTCGCCTCGAAGTTTCAATTATCGATTTCAGGGAAGTTGTAAGAGATAGTCTTTTATTGCATCAATAGGAAGCTGAAGTGAGTGCATAAAAACACTGCATATGCCCCAATATATAATATGGGCCAAAATATTGTAAAAAATGTGTTACATTGTGCCTTTAAATAGTTAAATTTAATTTAGATTGATTAACATCTTGTTAATTTGTTTGTTTTCAAAACAAATGGGATGTTTTCAAAGTTGTTTCTGTAAACCAGGAAACAGAGTTTTACATAGATTTTGAAAACTGGGAGTTACTGTGACTGGGAAATGTCACTGGGAGTCATTTTCTAAAGTTGTGAGTCCTGAAAAGATTTTGTAAATAAAATAATTTCATTATTAATTCTAAAGAAAGCGAGGTCTGCCAAAGCATATTTTGTGATATTGTCCTCTGTTGTAAGTAATCCAATGCAGTGCATGGTGATAGCATTTAGTGGAGTTATCTGCATTCAAGCTACACAGAGTTTCAAAATATTGCATCAGCAGTAACTCAAATGAAAACATTTTGGGAGTATTTTACAAATACACAGGAATTATGTGTCGTGTAAAACCCTACAGGAAATACAAATTATCAGTGTTACATTTCCAGCTGAGAAGTCAATGAAACGGACATAAAATGTCTCTGCTTACTCAGCACTGCAACAAAGAAGTATTGCCAGACTCTTGCTGGGTTTCATGAGACAGACAATATTACATTTAGAACAGAGGCAGATACCTAGTATTGCAAGTCCTGTGGGACACAAACAAGTCCTGCAGTGTGAATAATTAGATATAGCGTGTCAACGTCAGGGTGATTTTTCATCAATCTATCATTAAAATCAACATCTGTGACGGCTTCTTGGCTTTGATTGGGAATTGGATTGGAGGAAGATGTTCCAGTACACAAACTCAAAATCATTGAAATTTGTAAAAGTTTTTATGAACTGACGATTGACAGTAAAAAGCTCTTCAAAGCTCACCTCTTCCACTCATGTCACTAGCCTTTCAGGAATGTTTATTTATGTGCACATTGACTTTTGTAATACCACCAGTGAGCATCTGTCGATGGATACAAGGCTATAAAGAAATCCATTATGTTTGTTATTGTGTATCTGTTGATACAAATACTGTTAAAACAGGAGAACCATGGCAAAGAGACTGGGAGATACTGTCAGATCATTAATAGCTGCTGAGTATTGTGTCGATGAAATATCTCACCAGTCAGTGACCTTCATTAACGTGTGGTGATGACTGATTTACAGGTGTGGGAGGAATCCGATTCATCTGATGATGATGATGATGATGCTGAGAAGATGGATGAGGCCTGCGGGGGAGAGGAGGATGACGATGATGATGAAGATGGTACAGCATTGGGAATATACTTTTGTTGAGATAAGATCATAATCTTAGTCTACCGTCCCATGTCAAACCAAAAGAATTGTTGAGCTTTTAGCACTGTGGAAGCTAATTTGGAGAATGCTCCTAAACAGTTTTTATCCGATGAGTTCTTGTTGAAAACTCAGAATGGGTATTTCAGTATGGGTATTTTATACCACGGTATTTGTTACATATACAAAAGAAAAGTAAGATATTTTCAAGGAATACGGTTGTCTGTTAAGTTAGAGAAAGCTTACAAAAGTCGCTCAGTTCCTTGCAGTCAGTTTACTTACTTGTTGGTCTGACATCAATGTACACTTGACGAGTGAACAGAGTACTCTTGACCGAGTTTAGGCCTCAGTAGAATTCGCTTTCACTCAGTTCCTTTAGTTTTGGTACACAAGACCTCAAACTTTTAACAAAGTGATCATAATGGCTACCAATATTCCCTGAGATCAAATGTCACAAGTAAAATGTTTGTTTTCTAGATGACATGATGATTTTAAATATATTTTTTCATAAAAATCTTCAAGAAGATTGTTGCACTTCATCTTTGAAAAAACGTTCTGAGATGAACTCTGGAAACATAAGTGCCAAAGTCTGAACATGTTTTTTAATCTACCAATGAGAAACTTTCATGTCTGCTACTTTCAATTAATTGGATTTGGAAACTCGACAAAAACTATTTATGCAAATATTATATCAATCTGTTTGTCGCTCTTTTCTCCAGGGCCGGTGGGGTAGCCTAGTGGTTAAAGCGTTCGATCGTCACACCAAAAACCCTGGTTCAATTCCCCACATGGGTACATTGTGTGAAGCCCATTTCTTGTGTTCCCCCAATGATATTGCTAGAATATAATGCTAAAAGCAGCGTAAAACTAAACTCACTCTCTTTTCTCCAGATTCTGACATGGATATATGTTTCGATGATGCACCAGCGTTGACGGAGGGTGAGTCAGTCACGGACTACTTTGAGCGGACGCGGGAGTACTGGATGACCAAGGCCCAGGAGTTCAGTGATGAGGAGGGTCTGGGAGTGAAGGGGAAAACACTGGTCAAACTGGCCAGGGACTTGTGTAAAAGTGCCTGCAGTAACAGTTGAGGGGAGGTAACTCTTGGAATACTCTCGTAGAGCCAAGCCATGCGTGAACCCTCCTGAAGGATTGCACAGTGATCTTCAAGATTTATGCTTTGTCAGCTTGATACACTGACATGAGAGTGGAATATGTCATGAATGGATTAACTTCTCTGACATCATTGCAAGTTTGGAATGGACAGTCTGTTAGATTAAGAAATGTTAAATACCCAAAACCAAAGATGTATATATACATGTACATATGTTTATACGTCTTTGCCAATACTGATGGTTAATTTTGAGGGTTTTAGGTCAGTGTTTGAAAATAAATAAATATTTTTGTATGTTGGTTCCTCAAGACATGTGACAGCTGATCATAGGATGACAATTGTTATGCCCTGGATAAACAATAGGCAAAAGGGAAATCTGAAACCAAGAATGAAATTGTGTCATGGAATATGTTGTGTCTGCATCACCAGTCATGAAGATGTTGCAGGGCAAAGAGTGTTGGTAACCAGCCTATATGTGAAGCTTACTCACATCAACCACCATGCATGTTTAGTCAGGGAAAGGTTATGATGCTGATTAAGATTTCAAAGACAAACAAATGTGTCACTGTAAATGTTGGTGCTTGTTATGGAATGAGAATAGATGTATTTAGCATTTGAAATTCAAATGGAATGAATGGAAAATGAACAATTAGATTTCACGAACTTGTTGACGGAGGATGTGGTGGTAGGTTCAGCCCTGATAGAGACAACTGCATTGCTGTACACAACATGCTGGTTGAAGTGTTTCCTGGCCTGGCCAGAGATCCAGGCTGGCATCTCAACCGACCTGACTTCAGATCCTGGGTATTGGTATTTTATGGTGTCTGTTGCTTTACTTTTTAAAATGTTTTTGATTTTTTTTTTTTCCCTTTTCAATAAACGTCTATGCTATCTGTCTTGAGTTGGAAGGTTTGTGATGCTGGATATGTTGTGCCTGGCTGGTATATGATATTTGAAGAATGGAGAGAAGAGATAACAGGTAACTTGCGAGGAGATCAGCTGTCAAAATCATGCAGAAAACCAGAACCGAATGAACTATATCTAAACATTTTCATCTCCTCCTCATCTGAAACTTTCTAGATCCATAAAACCGATACGACCCCCACAACTTACATGTCTTGATATCAGGGAGCATGTTTTTCATGTAGAACTGAATTGTTTTATCTTCATTTCTATTAAAGATGAAAAAACTGAAACAACTCTCTCATGTGAAACATTTTTGCAAAGTACAGGTCAGTTGTATTTCAAAAGAAGTTCTATCACAGACCTCACTGAAAAAAATGTTGTCAGTCGGTTTTGAATTGAAGAACTTTCATTGTAGTCCAGCACCATTAAACAGGACCAGTGAGGGTTTTGTTACAGTGTCGCCAGATACCCTGGTTAATTTAAAGGCACAATGTCACGCTTTTTTGGCAATATTTTGGCCAATGTTTTATATATTGGGGGCATATGCCCTCACTTTAGCTTCCTATTAATGTAATGAAAGACTTATTATCCCTTACAATTTGCCTGAAAATGATAAGTGAAACTTTGAGGCAAACAGCTTCCATACTGGGAACACTTGCCATATATGGAATGTAAACAATTGCTCCGTACAAAAAACTGTTGCTCACGATGTTGTTGGTGTTTGCCGAAGTGGTTTTAATCACAATTTGTGCATAGGATATTCGTAAGGAGAACTATAAGGGACATAACTCTATGGGATACGCTTGACATAATGCTCGGCCAGTAGAGGGCGTGAGAGTCAATTTAATGCAATGTTGCATTAATTCATTCGAACTTTTAAATTTGTATTGTAATCTAAATATGTAAGAAAAATAATTAAATTATATAGCAGCTTCCCTGAGGGCTGATAGTATTATTGAGAGAAATGCGTTTTGTATTTTTGAGAAGAGTGGTGTGACATTGTGGCTTTAAGACATTTGTTACAGTATGGAAGTACAGAATGTTGTTCAACAAGATGAAGGCAGAGATCTGTACACAGGAAGATAATTACTCTCTGATCTGATCCGCTCACAGCAACATGCATCTGTCCGTGATGAGCACAGATTCCCAACATAAACCACATCATTTAAACCCTCACAGGCAGGCGTAGTGCTGTAGTGGTATGTAGTAAGAGTGCACCAGTGGGGACGTGTGGATGGACGGTTGCACCTGCCAGTCATACCTGTGGAATTTCCTCGGTGACATCATGCTTGGCAGCACCAACCTGATGCAGCAGCATCGTCATGACCAAACTGTACACAGCTCTACTGGGTCCATGTGCACCAAATTACCCGAGTAGTCCTGGGACGGACTGTGTAGATAACGGTTTCAGTATGACATAGCATAGCTAATGGCTGGAAACATACAAAAATACAGAATTTGTACACGTACCATCTTACTCTGAGTATCGGATTGCTAGATTGAGAAAGGTTATTTTTGTGAAATCATTTTGTGTGTGGTCTGATTTCTGTGGGTTCACAATTGTATGTCTTCAAGTAGTGACTGTAAACAGTTCTCAGATGCTGGGAGAAACTGAATGTGTAGCCACAGATGCCATGGTAACTGAATGGATTAATGCCCTTACTCTAATGGCGAAAACCAGGACTGATCTTGTGTGAAACCCGTGTAGGTGACTCACTGTCATGTGTGAAATCTATCTTTGTGACTCACTGTCATGGGTGAAATCTATCTTAGTGACTCACTGTCATGGTAAAACCCATGCTGGTGACTCACTGTCATGTGTGAGGCCCATGTTGGTGATTCACTGTCATGGGTGAAATCTATCTTAGTGACTCATGGTAAAACCCATGCTGGTGACTCACTTTCATGGTGAAACCCATGTTGGTCACTTTCTTGTGAAACACATGTTGGTGACTCACTGTCATGGGTGATATGTATCTTTGTGAGTCACTGTCATGGTAAAAACCATGTTGGTGACTCACTGTCATGGTGAAACCCATGTTGGTGACTAACTTTCATGGTGAAACCCATGTTGGTGACTCACTGTCGTGGTGAAACCCATGTTGGTGACTCACTGTTGTGGTGAAACCCATGATGGTGACTCACTGTCATGGTGAAACCCATGTTGGTGACTCACTGTCACGGTGAAACCCATGTTGGTGACTCACTGTTGTGGTGAAACCCATGTTGGTGACTCACTGTCATGGTGAAACCCATGTTGGTGACTCACTGTCATGGTGAAACCCATGTTGGTTTCTCACTTTCATGTGTGAAACCCATGTTGGTGACTCACTGTCATGTGAAACCCATGTTGGTGACTAACTTTCATGGTGAAACCCATGTTGGTGACTCACTGTCATGGTGAAACCCATGTTGGTGACTCACTGTCATGGTGAAATCCATGTTGGTGTCTCACTGTCATGGTAAAACCCATGTTGGTTTCTCACTGTCATGTGAAACCCACGTTGGTAACACCCTCTCATGTTTGAAACCCACGCTGGTATCTGACTGTGTGAAGCCCATGCTGGTAACTGACTGTGTGAAGCCCATGCTGGTAACTGACTGTGTGAAGCCCATGCTGGTAACTGACTGTGTGAAGCCAACGCTGGTAACTGACTGTGTGAAGCCCATGCTGGTAACTGACTGTGTGAAGACCATGCTGGTAACTGACTGTGTGAAGACCATGCTGGTAACTGACTGTGTGAAGCCCATGCTGGTAACTGACTGTGTGAAGCCCATGCTGGTAACTGACTGTGTGAAGCCCACGCTGGTAACTGACTGTGTGAAGCCCATGCTGGTGACTGACTGTGTGTGAAGCCCATGCTGGTAACTGACTGTGTGAAGAACTGTGTGAAGACACGCTGGTAACTGACTGTGTGAAGCCCATGCTGGTAACTGACTGTGTGAAGCCCACGCTGGTAACTGACTGTGTGAAGCCCATGCTGGTAACTGACTGTGTGAAGCCCATGCTGGTAACTGACTGTGTGAAGACCACGCTGGTAACTGACCCATGCTGGTAACTGACTGTGTGAAGCCCACGCTGGTAACTGACTGTGTGAAGCCCACGCTGGTAACTGACTGTGTGAAGACCACGCTGGTAACTGACTGTGTGAAGCCCACGCTGGTAACTGACTGGTAACTGACTGTGTGAGACCACGCTGGTAACTGACTGTGTGAAGCCCATGCTGGTAACTGCTGGTAACTGTGTGAAGCCCATGCTGGTAACTGACTGTGTGGAAGCCCACGCTGATGGTAACTGACTGTGTGAAGACCATGCTGGTAACTGACTGTGTGAAGACCACGCTGGTAACTGACTGTGTGAAGCCCACGCTGGTAACTGACTGTGTGAAGCCCATGCTGGTAACTGACTGTGTGAAGCCCACGCTGGTAACTGACTGTGTGAAGACCACACTGGTAACTGACTGTGTGAAGCCCATGCTGGTAACTGACTGTGTGAAGCCCACGCTGGTAACTGACTGTGTGAAGCCCACGCTGGTAACTGACTGTGTGAAGCCCATGCTGGTAACTGACTGTGTGAAGACCACGCTGGTAACTGACTGTGTGAAGCCCATGCTGGTAACTGACTGTGTGAAGCCCATGCTGGTAACTGACTGTGTGAAGCCCACGCTGGTAACTGACTGTGTGAAGCCCACGCTGGTAACTGACTGTGTGAAGCCCACGCTGGTAACTGACTGTGTGAAGACCCATGCTGGTAACTGACTGTGTGAAGCCCACGCTGGTAACTGACTGTGTGAAGCCCACGCTGGTAACTGACTGTGTGAAGCCCACGCTGGTAACTGACTGTGTGAAGCCCACGCTGGTAACTGACTGTGTGAAGCCCACGCTGGTAACTGACTGTGTGAAGACCACGCTGGTAACTGACTGTGTGAAGACCATGCTGGTAACTGTGTGAAGACCATGCTGGTAACTGACTGTGTGAAGCCATGCTGGCTGGTAACTGACTGTGTGAAGCCCATGCTGGTAACTGACTGTGTGAAGCCCATGCTGGTAACTGACTGTGTGAAGCCCACGCTGGTAACTGACTGTGTGAAGACCATGGTAACTATTTTGTGAAATCATTTTGTGTGTGGTCTGATTTCTGTGGGTAGCCCAATTGTATGTCTTAAAGTAGTGACTGTAAACAGTTCTGGATGCTGGGAGAAGCTGAATGTGTGAAGCCACAGATGCCATGGTAACTGAATGTGTGAATGCCCATTACTAACTAATGTGTGAAAACCAGGACTGATCTTGTGTGAAACCCATGTAGGTGACTGACTGTCATGTGTGAAATCTATCTTTGTGACTCACTGTCATGGGTGAAATCTATCTTAGTGACTCACTGTCATGGTGAAGCCCATGTTGGTGACTCACTGTCATGTGTGAAATCCATCTTTGTGTCTCACTGTCATGGGTGAAATCTATCTTGGTGACTCACTGTCATGGTAAAACCCATGCTGGTGACTCACTGTCATGTGTGAGGCCCATGTTGGTGATTCACTGTCATGGGTGAAATCTATCTTGGTAACTGACTCATGGTAAAACCCATGCTGGTGACTCACTTTCATGGTGAAACCCATGTTGGTCACTTTCATGTGAAACCCATGCTGGTGACTCACTGTCATGGGTGATATGTATCTTTGTGAGTCACTGTCATGGTAAAACCATGTTGGTGACGCACTGTCATGGTGAACCCCATGTTGGTGACCAACTTTCATGGTGAAACCCATGTTGGTGACTAACTGTCATGGTGAAACCCATGCTGGTAACTCACTGTTGTGAAGAAACCCATGATGGTGACTCACTGTCATGGTGAAACCCATGCTGGTAACTCACTGTTGTGGTGAAGCCCATGTTGGTAACTGACTGTCATGGTGAAACCCATGCTGGTAACTGACTGTCATGGTGAAACCCATGCTGGTGAACTGTTGTGTGTGAAACCCATGCTGGT